CACCCGCCCGCTCCGCCCGGGTCCTCACCCGCCCGCTCCTCCCGGGTCCTCACCCGCCCGCTCCGCCCGGGTCCTCACCCGCCCGCTCCTTCCCGGTCCTCACCCGCCCGCTCCTCCCCGGTCCTCACCCGCCGGCTCCCTGTCTCGGTTCTTCTCCCCCACGGCCGCCCCGCCCCGGGTCTCCCCTCCCGGCTGGGCCGCCACAGGTCTCTGTCGCCCTCTCGCCCCTCCTGGCCGCTTTCCACCTGACCCGTCTCCCTGCTCTTTCTATGTCTTCTTATCTCTTTCTCTCTCTGTCCCTGTCTCTCTGTCCCTGTCCCTGTCTTGTCCTGTCTCTCTTTCTCTTACTCTGTCACCGTCCCGATCTACCCCTGTCTGTCTGTCTCGCCCCCCTCGCCTCCACTGCCTTCCTGGTCTCTGTGCTCACACATCTCTGCCTCTCTCTCTCTCACTGCCCGCCTTTCCCTCTGTATCCCTCAGCCTGCTGTTTCCCTGTCCCCACAGGGCCCCTCCTCGGTCATTCCTCCCTCACCCCCTTTCTCTCTTCCCTCTCTCTCTCTGGCTCTGACTGAATCAGAGACAAGAGCAGGAGGCAGGACAGAGCCAAAGCCCCATATTTGAGTTTCTCTTCTTATTCCCCTCTGCCTTTCTCCCTCCCCTGGAAGACAAGTGTCCTCGTGTGCCTGTGTTTGTAGCCATCTGTGTGTGTGTGCACGCACACACGTCTGGTTATCAGATTGTGCCCCAGGGATGCACGTACATGCATGTGTGTGCATGTGTGTGTGCAGGCGTGCATGTGTGTGTGCATGTGTGTAGGAGTGGCGGTGTGTCGTTTCTCCCACTGCATCTGGTGCATATCGGAGGGGCATGTGTGTCTGCCTCAGGTATGATGTCAGCACACTGTGCACATGCATGTGTGTACGTACATGTCTATGTCTGTTAAGCTGTCCCTCTTTGCCACCTGCCTTTCAGAAGGTTCTTAGCCTGAAGTCTCCTTAACTGCTTTAAGAGTCTATTGTAGTTAGGTGCTGTCGAGTCGTCTCCGACTCGTAGCGACCTTACGAACAACAGAATGAAACACTGCTCGGTCTGGCACCAGCGTCCCAATCCCTGCAATGTCTGAGCCCATCCTGGCAGCCACTGTGTCTGTCAATCTATCTCATTAAGTCCCCAAACTTGAGGGCAAAATTATGTGCCTGGTATTTGTATAGGAGCCCTGGTGGCACAGTGGTTAATGCACTCAGCTGCTGAATGAAAGATTGGTGCTTGGAACCCATCAGCTGCTCCACAGGAGAACAATAAAGCAGTCTGATACCTAAAGAGTGACAGCCTTGGAAACCCTGTGGTGCAGTTCCACTCTGTCCTCTAGGGGCGCTGTGAGTCGGAATCAACTCCACACCAGTCGGTTTGGTTTGGCCTTTGCTTCCAGTGGGTTTGGTTTGGGCTTTGCTCCCATAAAGATTGACAGCACCCTGTGGTGCAGTTCCACTCTGTCCTCTAGGGGCGCTGTGAGTCAGAATGGACTCCAGGGAAGTGGGTTTGGTTTCGGCTTTGCTTCTGTGAAGACTGACAGCCTTGGAAACCCTGTGGTGCAGTTCCACTCTGTCCTCTAGGGGCGCTTTGGGTCACAATAGACTCTACTGCAGTGGATTTGGTTTGGGCTTTGGTTCGGTAAAGATTGAGCCTTGGAGAGCCTGTGGGGAAGTTCCACTCTGTCCTAAAGGTAACTATGAGTTGGAATCAACTGGAAAGCAGTGGGTCTGGTTTGGGGTCCTGGTATCCATATGTGTCTGGGAGACAGTCCACAGCTTTGATTCAGTTCCTGAAAGGGCTCAGCACCCAGACAAGCTTTGCCACCAGTGTCCTAAGGAGATCAAGGAAAAAGATGTGTGGGCAACCAACACTCACTGAGCTCTTACTGGGTGCCAGGCAGTGTTCTGGGTTCGTAGCTTTGTTGGTGCTGTTAGGTGTCGTCATCTCCGACCCTGTGTACAACAGAATGAAACATTGCCCGGTCCTGCACCCACCTCACAATTCCTGCTACACCTGAGCCCATCATTGCAGCCACTGCGTCAATCCATCTCTTTGAGGGCCTTTTTTTCATTGACCCTCCACCTTCCCAAGCATGATATCCTTTCCCAAGGAATGGTCCCTTCTGACAACATGACCAAAGTAGGTGAGACGAAGTCTGGCATTCTCGCTTCCAAGGAGCATTCTGGCTGCACTTCCTGCAGGACAGATTTGGTCGTTCTTCTGACAGTCCATGGCACTTTCAGTATTATTCTCCAACACCCCAACTCAAAAGCATCAACTCTTCTTTGGTCTTCCTTATTCATTGTCCAGCTTCCCCATGCATATGAAACCAAAATCAAACTCACATGCATATGAAGCAATTGAAAATACTGTGGCTTGAGTTAGGTACATCTTAGTCTTCAAAGAGACATCTTCGCTCCGGCACTTGAAAGAGGTCTTTTGCAGCAGGTGTGCCCAGTGCACTATGATGTCTGGTTTCTTGAGTGCTGCTTCCATGAGTGTTGACTGTGGAACCAAGGAACAGACAAACTTCTTACCGAGTTCATGGCATTCACATTCTGTTGGGGGAGGAGTGGGTGAAGAATGAGAGAACAGAGAAAGAAAACAATGCCTGTGTAAAGTCTACAATAACTGCAGGAGGTGGCAGGTGCCCTGAAGACAAACAGGAGGAGTGAAGGCAAGGAGGCTGATGCCTTACAGGGTCTGGGCAGGCACAGCTCTCAGCAGAGGTAACACAGCAGAGACCTGAAGGAGGGGAGGGACGGAAAAGAATGGGGAAGAGCAGTTGCAAAGGCCCTGAGGCAGCGATGTGGCCGGTAGGCTCCAGCCCGGCCCCAGCCCTGGCAGGGCCCTCAAATGGAAGAGAGAGGTGCTTGGAACCCTTTCTCTTGGCATTTTCTGCATTTGAGTCTTTAACCTCCTGAGGGGCTGTCCAACCTGTGAACTTTCTAAAATCGCACAGGAAGTTGAGGACAGCGTGCTTGTGTGTGTTTTTTGGGGGAGGTGGCACAGCGTATTTGTCCCATTTCCACAAAGAGGTACTTGACCCCTGGAAAGTTACAAGTCATTGTTTTAGAGGGAGAGCACCAAAAAGAAAGAAGACAGGGACAGAGAGAGGGGACAGAGACCCAGAGAGGGGAGACAGAGACTCAGACAGAGGGGAACAGAGACCCAGAGAGAGGGGACAGAAACTCAGAGAGGGGGACAGAGAGCCAGAGAGAGGGGACAGGGACCCAGAGAGGGGGATAGAGACCAAGAGAGGGGGACAGAGACCCACAGAGAGGGGGTCAGAGACCCAGAAAGAGGGGACAGAAACTCAGAGAGGGGGACAGAGGCTCAGAGGGGGACAGACGCCCACGGGGGGGGGGGACAGAGACCCAGAGAGAGGAGGATAGAGACCCAGAGAAAGGGGACAGAGATCCAGAGAGAGGGAGACAGAGACCCAGAGAGAAGACAGAGACCCAGAGATAGAGGACAGAGACTCAGGGAGAGAACAGAGACCCAGAGAAAGGGGACAGAGACTCAGAGAAGGACAGGGACAGGGACTGAGAGAGAGGGGGAGAGAACCAGAGAGACAGAGGCTGGGAGGAGTTGGAGGCTGTGTGCCACCCTGCTGAGCTGTCTACCGTTTGTTTTATGTCCCTCATAAACAGCCCTGCCCCTGCTGCGTCCAGCGTGTCCTGCTGAAAAGGCAGCCAGAGAAGAGCTGGAGCTCAGACAGCAGGGGGCGGGGTTAGGGCGGTGGCAGGGGAGGGGTTAGGGGCGGCAGGGGCGGGGTTAGGGCGGCAGCTGCATTTCCCTGGCAGGGTGGGGTGGGGAGGCTGTGGACCGAAGGCAAGGAGTGGGACACAGACCCCTTGGGCTCCAGGGGCTCCAGGGAAGGGCCCCTCTGCTCCCACCCAGGCCTCGGCTTCACCTCCATGTTTCTCTGTCTCTGACCCTCTGCCTCCCCTCTCTGTCTCCATAGTTTCTGTGGTAGTTAAGGTTGTGTGTCAACTTGGCTGGGCCTGGTTGAGTGTCTGGGCAGCTGGACGTAGTATTCCCCATGATGAGACTGGTAATCAGCTCCATGGCGGAATCTACTGCGAGCAGCTGAGTAGCTGCCTTAGGGATGTGGTTTGCGGAGACCCAGAATATAAGGAGAAGATTTGGGGATGGTCTCTGCCTTTTTGGCAGCTTGAACCCTGTATGTAACAGAGTCTTCATTCAGTAGCCTGCCATGCTCTGCCGATGTTGGGATTT